TCACCGAGGTAAGTGGATAGTAAAAGGTTTTATTATTGATAAATGAATTTATCATGAATTATGCTCCATTGGTCATTTTTGTTTTCTACCAACCTTTACTTCTGTGACAGTGACATAGTGTGATGTCTTTACTGGGCTAGTGTAGCTCATTCTTTATTTAACCATTTCAGATTAAGAGGATTTGGTTCTCGAGCCTATCTCGCAGGAAGACGGCGAATAGACGCCTAAGGATTTCATAGTTTTATTTATAGCATTCATTACTAGTATTACCTTAGTTAGTTTATTCTTTCACACGTTGAATACGTTTTTGGTTATTGTGTAAGGGATGTTAACCAGAATTTTTATTTTGCTTCCGTACTTAGAACTTTTTAATACATACATTTCATTTTTATTTCCGGGGACGTTACAATAACCCAGCCGCCAGGGAGCCAACTGCTGTCACCCGCCGCCGTACCGGAACCTTTTCCGACTGCCAAAAAAAAGTAAAAATTTCTCTTTTTGCACGAAATTTAATTTTAAACCTATCCATGGTTAAATCAGAATGAAAGAACTGGCCAATTGGCCGAAAAAATCGACAAAGCCCAGCGGCATTGCAACAGAGAATTTTACAAACCGCCTCCGATGATACTCTTCCTGATTTTCGTTTTGTACAATTTTTTCACCGTTGTGATTACCGTTTTTCTCTCTACAGCTTGACCGAAGCGAAACACCCAATCGCACCGTGAGCCGGAGGAACCGCTACACCGGAGAGCCCTGCTGCCGGTGAGTTTTTGTTTTTTGTATTTTTTCGACCTACCGAGCCCCTTTAGCGTGTGTGCTCGCAGGAATCAATGTGGAATCGACTGAATTCGGTTGAAAACGATAAAAAACGGTCGACCCGAGGTGGACCGCCGCCGTAGGCAGGGTCTCCATCACCGGAGCACGGCAAGGCCACCGTCGCCGGAGCATGGTGGGGCCGCTATGCCGGATTTTTGAAATTGGTCAAGTATGCCCTCAGACTGATTTTGGAGTTTAATTGGGATATTTGTAGGTACCGTAAATGTATTTCAGTTCCCGAAGAAAAATTGAAAGAATCTAGGGACCACTCGTAGGCTCAGTAACCATTTAGTTTTTCAACGTCAAATCAAGTAAGAACCTCTCACCATATTTCTCATCATAGATTTAAAGTTTAAATAAATAATAATACAGTCTTTTGTACAAATTAAATAGATGTGCATAATTAATTACGGATTGTTAATGGAGCCTGAACCGGACATTGTTCTCTATTGATTTCTATTGATTTGTTACAGTCTAAAAGCATGATTGTATCTGTTTTATCTATTTTATGATTTAAATGCATGTATTACTGTCTTACTTGACTACTGTTTGATTTTGAGATTTAAAATATGATTGCATTACTGGATGCATGTTCGTTTGTTTATGTGATTATGTTTGATTTGGTAACGGAGACTAAGAAAAAATAGGATAGGGGGTGTGATCAAGTAAACAGATAAGATGACAGCCTCACTAGATATCATGGGAGATGGTGGCCGGACCGAGTTCATAGAAAATCCTAACGTGAACGTTGTCTCATACCGGACGGGGTATGGAGACTTGATAATTTGGCGCCCATACCGGACGGGGTATGGGGACGGCCCGCTTCACCCTCATACCGGACAGGATATTGAGATCTAATGTCTTGGTGCTCATATTGGACAGGGTATGGGGACGACCCTATAATTGATATTGTTAAGGAAAATGGTTCACGTGTAGCGGGGACACTCCTATGGATCCCCACAGATACTAGTAGGCTGGTGAAACGATAAACGGTTATGATTTAGTTTATTATTAATAAATATGAATTTATGATATGTTCTATATTGCTGATTGTGCATTAAGTTATGATTTGTATGATATTATTGTCTCTATAGATTGTTTTCATAAATTCTATAATAGTAAGTTAATGGTAAATGATTTTACGATTGATAAACGAAATTGGTAAATTTAGTGTTCCATTAGTTGTTTTGATTTTTTACCAATCTTTACTTCTGTACCGATGATATAATATGATGTCTTTACTGAACTAATGTAACTCATCATTTATTTAACAATTTCAGATCAAGAGAACCTGGTTCCCGAGCCCAATCTGCAATAAGATTGCAAGTAGATGTTAGATACTTTATATTTTCTTTTATTTTTCTCATTTTTCGTATTTCTTTCAGAGAATTCATTCCGTAATGTTTGTTTAGTACTTTTGAGTTATTGTGTAAGTTTGAGTTATTGTATAAGAAATATAAAACTTAATATTTTATTTCGCTTCTATACTTAAATTATTATATACTTTCTTTTAGATTTTTAGCATCGTTACATTACTTACTAGTCAATTTATATTTGAAAAATAGAAGCCAAAATTTTCATAATATAACTTATTTTTTAAAAAATTTTATCAATAATTAAATGTTCTTCAAAAAACTTAATCCGAAGTTAAATTAAAATATACATTGTACGACAACTTTAATTGACCTCCAAAATCAAAGTTTGATTAACAAATATATAAAAGCTTGCATTGATTCTCACGCGTGAATCAAAATACAAAATTATTAAAGATTAATTTGATTTGAATTTCGTTTCTATTGATGGCATTTGGGAGTCTACATACATTGAAGCTGATGCAGACAAGTGCATATGGAGATGTGTATATATATATGTATGTATACATATTAAAAAAATATAATTTGAGAAAAAATAATGAAAATTGGCAAATAATTTTATATATTTTGAAATTAATCCGCTTCTCCCGAAGCGAAAATTTAAACTTATATACGTATAAAACCTACTAAAGCACTGCACAAGTAGTTCATGCCTAGGCTAGGAATTAAAAATAAATCCTACCATTACTTTATTGTAATACGATACTTACATATATATATATATTGTATTATTATTTTTAAACTATGTGTAAGCACAACTCAAGATTAAGACCTATTTTTGCCATCTGGGTATTTTATATATATATATATATATATTATATTGCATACAAAAAAATTAAAAATTCATTTTTCCTATTTTCAAGAACTCGTCTTTAAATATTATAATTTTAAATTATGTAGCCACAATTCCGTCAATAAAATAATTTCATTTGATGGGTGGTGACTGATACAAAATATTTATATTATTAATTAAATAAATTATATTTGCGTTCTCCAAAAATCTCATAAATGTTATTAATTTATTTTGGATTAATATTTCTAACTTAAACTAAATACAAACAAACTACTTTCCTAAATTGTCAACATCCCCCTTGACAAAGAACAAAAAAGAATATAATTTTTCTTTGCAAAAGAAAATATAAATTATAAAATTTAAATTTATATTAAAATTTAAAACCTAAAGAGAAAACAGCCTGTTCTTTTTTTTTTTTTTTTAAAAAAAATGTTACAGAAAACCCACCTGGTTGTAATGTAAAACATTAATAATTGATAAAATGACAAATTTGACTTGACATTTTTAACCCAGCATCATTTTCTCCTATTTTTTCCAATTCTTGGAAGCAAAAGAACCCAATTACAATCTTCAAAACCATCTTAAATCACAAATTAAATACAAAAGAATGAAACTCCCACTTGATTATCTTTAACTAAAATAGATTAGTAATTGAAAAATATATATATTAAGATTACTAGTATGTAAATCCCATAAATAATTGGGTGGGGAAAAAAAATAAAATGAAACAAACACAACACCATTCACTACGCCGAGTGTATGCTTGTGTGGAGGGTAAAGAAAAAACGGAGACTGAAGAATTTGATAAATTAGACAAAACCCACCCATTACACAAGAGTGAACACAAAATCGGGAGAGTTGTACTATTTTTCACCATTCAATTTCGCCTCCATATATATATATATATATATACCAATTACCGACTATATAAATATCGCTTACCTTCCGTACATAATTTCAATATAGGGGAGCTCGATGTGGAGTTTTCTTCCTTCTATTCATCAAGCTGGCAGAAATTTCTGAAACAGGAGAACACATTGGCCGACATGCTGCTGATAAGCTACTCCTCTTCTTCCTCACGATCTCTGTGGTTGCAGTGCAGCCGAGTGTCCTGCTGCAGACCTCTCCGTACCCACCAGACCCGGACGACGTATGGGCGGAACCAGCTGGCTCCAGCACCGACTCAGGAGTCATCAGACCATCGTCCAGTCCTTGTTCTGGTAAAGGCAAGAACTTACAGTCAAACAGAAACTTTGAGACCCCACCTTGTGTTCTTACCAGATAATTAATCTGCCAAGTTTAGAAAAAAGAATTAAGAGAAACCCAGGTGATAATTCGGTGAAATGGCAAATGGTTAAGTGAAAGAATTGGGATTTAGAGGACCTTGCAGGAGAGAGAGCAGAAGAGGTAAGGATCCTGCAAGCTTCGGTCGCAGGTGCTGCAGATGTTGCCGGAGCCTCTAAACTGCCTCGTCTGTGGCCTTTGGTTTATGAATACCACTTTGGCACTGTTTGTTGTATATGACTAAAGAAAAAAAACAGAAAATATGTTCATTCAACAAATTTCCATTATGTTATTACTATTGAAAACAGTATGTTAATTAGTGCAATTATAACAGTGTTTTTGCAGAAAGTCTGTGGGAAAAACAGCCGTGAGAGACACGACAAAAGAAAAAAGAAGTGAAAATAAGCTTATTATGTTTTCCTTTTTGATCTTCAGGACAAAATAAATTCAAACATGCTTTTATCCATTTATTCTGTCTGGGTTTTTATTTGGTTTGACCTGTGAACCACTTTTTTTATATATAAGCAAAAACAGTAAGTATGACTTACTTGGACAAACCCACAGTCCATTAACCTTGCAGCATCATCCAACCTTATAACATCGTGGTAAACGTATCTTCTTATCTGAAACACCACAGAGTATGTATATACACCCATAATTACACTCAACAAGTAAAACATCCATGTATATATGTATATATATGGTTTGAAGAGGACCTGTAAAAGTCGGTGAGAGCTGTGAGGGGACAAGCAGTGAGGACATATACTGATACAACAATCCAAGCAAAATATGTTCTTCTCGTTCTTCTTTGCCTCTTCATGAATGATGCAAGCGTTGAAGAACTTCTCGGTGAGGAGAGCATGAAGCCAGGGAGGTAGATGAGAAGAAAGCAACTGTAATCAATAAAAACCCACCAAATGAAATTCATTACAGCCACCAAAAAAGCTGCAAGAAGGAGAAGAGAGAAGGAGAAATATGAAGTAGTAGTACCCACCATGATTTTTTCTTTTTTCCTTCTGTCGTTTGATTTTTTGGTTGAGAGAGAGAGAGATTGGTCAGGGTTTATGAGGGTTGTGGTGGACCAAAACTAAACATTATTGCACACAGGGGGAGAGAGAGAGAGAGAGAGAGAGAGGAACGGCGCCTGCAACTGGACTAGGGTGGTGTGCTGTTACCAATGAAATAAGAGGAGAGAGAGAGAGAGAGAGAGAGAGAGAGAGGAGGTGGTCTGGCCTCATTTAAAGAGGTGCTGTGTTTTTGTCTTTCTTGCGTACAGCATATCATTACTTATGCATAGATATAATTTTCACCCTATTATTACAAACAAGCAATTAAGATATGGGTTTTAAATATTATAATCAATATAAATTTACCCAATTATTATTTTTGGATTATCAAGTTAAAAAATGAAATGAAAAATACCCAAAAACTAGTTTTTAAAAGAAAGAAGGAAAAGAATGATACAATGATTATGTAAAGAAGAGCTGGGATGATTAAATACAGGTTGGAAATGAAAGAGAGAAGTTAAAAAGAAAAATGAAAAGGTTTCTTCTCCTCTCCTATTGCTGTTTACTAAGAGCCCGTGTCCCGAAAACCAGAGAAGGCTAACCATTTGGTGATTTGTGTGTCGTTGGCCGTCTCTCTGTATACTGTGCTAAGTGCTAAATGACAAGACCTCAACAGTGACTTTTCTCAGTTCTCGGTGGAAAACGGTAAAAAATAAAAGATGGGCAAGTGGGTTGGCCTTGGATTTTTTTAAAAAAGGAGAAAAAATTTAAAAAAAATAAATAAATTATTTAAATTAAATAACTTGTTAAATTGTGAACCCAAATATATTTTCATAAAATTATTAAATTTTTTTCTTCTTGGTTAAATTTTTTATGCAATTATTCCTCTCAACAATTATTTTAAAGATATTTTTGTCTGTATTCTTTATAATCCACGTAGGGAATGAAATAAGGTAATGAAGATTTTGATTGTATAAGACATAGGAGGAGAAGGTCCTTCAAGGCTAAGGGATGAGAAGATGAACGAATATCCTATTTTCAGTGCTTTTAATTACCGACATTATTTTGTAAAAATTAAAAATACAAATGTGAAAGCTAAGTTATTGTCATTTATTTTTATGTAAAAAAAAAATTTCAAAAAATGAAATACAGATATATCAAAAGTAAAAAATAAATTTTTAAAAACTAAAAACAAAATATTCGTAAAAATATTATTAAATATATGCAAATACGTCATAAGTAATATTGCAACACAAAGTAAAGTCACATATATGATCAGTATGTATCGCACATAACATATCATGGCAATATATATTAATATCTCATTCTTTAATTTTATGTATATATTATAAGTTTTTATTGTAGGAAGCACAGTAAATAATTCGTAAATGTTTAAAGTTAGACCATTGGACAAAATTAAGATATAAAATTTACAATTTATTTCTTAACTACGACTAATAAATCATTTGAGACTTTAAATTATATATATTTTTTTAAGGTTTCTAATAATTTATGAGCAAATTTAAGAACAAAATTTTTATTTTTGTATTTTTTTAATTTCTTCTTTAAAAAATATGTTTTTTTCGCAAAAGAGGTGGGATAAAACCTCTTGATTGTATTATTTGATAAGAAAGTGTATACATTTATGAATGAAATGCTTTGTAAACTAATATTTATAAAAATAATAAAAATCTCAAGTAAATTGCTCAAGTAGAAAACATATACATGAGATTGGTGGTTAAATATATTTACGATTTCTATCACATACTATTTTTCATTCACACCTTGCATTTACTTATAACTTGAATATATTAATTGTAGGCTTTTATAAATTAGTTAGTTATTGAATATTAGTACTTGTCATCAATTAATAAAATCTTAAAACAGTCAGTTCACTCGTAGTCTTACTCATGACTTACATTAAATTTTTGATTTAACAATATATATATATATATTGCTATGTATAGCCTAACAATATATAATATATAATATATAATATATTGTTACGTATTAGTGGGATGAAATTTCTTAGCACAAAAAAGGACGAAACTCATTTCCCATAACTTATAAATTCACGTCCATGCCATTATTTGACTCAAGGTGAATTAACATATGCATAGCCTAATCCTACCATATGATTTATAATTTCAACAAAATAACATTAATTCACATATAACATATATATCCAAATTCATACCATAAACATAGTATTTTTTAAAACTGAAAATTCATAGAAAATAATATGTACATGTATTACTTGAGGCCATACCGTATACATACATATTTATAATTTTATTAATATTAGTTTTAGTAATATAAAAAATTTCTACTAACTCATAATCATTTAAAGGATCTAAAATCTATATATGTTTGTCTTAAAAAATTATATTTTAAAATTTGATTCAAATTATTAACCATAGCATGATGATAAAAAAGAAATTATATTTAAAATTTATAATATTATGTATTCATCTTGATCAAACTTGTTTATAAGATCTCACTAATGAGATTTTGATGCTTAAAAATATATTTCACATTAATATGATTTAAAACGTGTTAGAATAGAGAATGCAAATGGTGAGATCTTGACGCTCAAATTCTTACGACCTACTGGGAAATGGCATGCGAGCGCACGAGAGAGAGAGAGAATGCGAATGGTGAAATTTTGATGCCCAAATTCTTGCGACCTACTGGAAATGGTGCGCGCGCCCATGAGAAAACGAGAGAGAGAGAGAGAGAGGAACAGAGAATGTGAATGTTGAGATTTTGATGCCCAAATTCTTGTGACCTACTGGGAATGGTGCGCACGTGCACGAGAGAGAAGGAGAGAGAAAGAGAAAGAAAAAAAAAGAGAGAGAGAGAGAGAACAGAGAATGCGAATGGCGAGATTCTGATGCCTAAATTCTTGCAACCTACTAGGAATGGCACGCACGCACGCACGAGAGAGAGAGAGAGAGAGAGAGAGAGAGAGAGAGAGAGAGAGAGAGAGAGAGAGAGAGAGAATAACATCCCAACTTCCCTCGAAGAAGGAAACGCTATAACACATGTAACATTCATCTATAGCGTAGCAACCTAATAAATATTCCAAATCATTTCATCCCTTATACAAAATTAAAACACGTGAAGTTTTATACAATCTCTTCAATTAATATTTTATTTATATTCTATTTTTTTTATTATCCAAAATAAGTAGACTAAGAAATTTCTTCAAATCGTCATACTTAGTCTTGAACTTGATTTAAACCTTTCTTAACCTGTAATGACTGTGAAAATTTGGGGTGAGGATTCCATTATCTAAGCAAGAAAAATGGCAATGCCCATAACGGAGATATGCAACAAACATTTATACAGATAAAGTAATGCAAATTTTATTCAAGAAATTTTGATTTAAAAGACAATCATAATTATCATTAATTTCATCAAATATAAACTGAAAAATAATAAAAAGGACTTCATCATTTTCATTTCCTATTCCGAACATATCTTTTAATTCTTACATAACTGAAATATCACTTGCACTATATATGTTGATTTCACATACACTTACTCCTTTACCATTACTTATTAGCACACATTGATTTTAGAAACACTTGCACCTACCACAATTTTCCTGTTACACATGTCAAACACATATATATTTATACTTCTCAAGGCATCCTTGTACTCCATCCAGTATGAGTACCACTCAACACATCACATAAGCATCTCCATACCTCGTCTAGTATGTGTACCATTAAACATATCACATAGGCATTCCCATAACCTGTTTGGTATGTGTACCACTACACATATCACATGGACATCCTCATATCTCCTCTAGTATGAGAACCTCACTCAACGTATCACATGAGTGTCTCTATACCCCATCCGATGTGAGCATAAATAATTAGATCACATGGGCATTCTCATACCCCGTCCGATATAATATCATTAAACATATCACATGGGCATCCTTATACCTCGTCCAGAATGAGTACCTCACTCAACGTATCAAATGGGTGTCTCCATACCCCATTTAATATGACCACCAATAATTAGATCACATGGACATCCTCATACCCCGTTCAATATGAGACTTCTCAACCCCATATGATTGAGGATACGTTTAGGATAGGGTTCACCTTATGTACCAAATCCTTGCACTCTTTTCCATGATACTCTGTAAGCCTTTGATTCATGTCATCATGTTACGCATGTATATATTTCACTATTATCCAAACAATCAATAACCCATAAGGCCCGTACATCAAATAATACAAGGGTATGTAATCCATGTTTCGATACTTATTAAGGATAAAATGTAACGACCCCGTAATTTTAAAGGAAAATGTATATATATAAGAAAAATTTTAAGTGTGGAAGCGGAATAAAAATTTTGATTAATATCCCTTACATAATAATCCAAACGTACTAAACGTATGAAATAATAAACTAAATAAAGTAAATACTAGAGATGAATGTTATAAATAAAACTATGAAATCTTTAGACATCTACTCGCTGTCTTCCTAGGGGACGGACTCGGGAATCGAGTCTGTAACAGCCCCGAAAATTTAAAATGAAATGTATATTAAAAATATCAAATGCGGAAGCGAAGTCAAAAATTCAATTAACATCCCTTACGCTAAAAC